AAATGTAGAATGAAGGTTCGGGAGCCAAAACACGCAGTTTGGGGCCCCGAAAACTGACTGTTAGGCACCGGAAGTGGTGTCCGACCACGAAGTTGGTCTCTCGGACCGTAGTGTCCCTCAAAAGGGTGTATTTTCACAGATGTATGCATGCCTCGATCCTCGTGCCACCAATCACGTATCTCGATGCATGATGGCCGAGGAGTCGAATTGTGCAACTCAATATAGAATGAATGCACATGAAAACAAAACAAAACCTAGACTCCATCATGGATAATCTGGAGTGTCGGTGACTGGGAATTGAGACACGTTCCGTCACTCGAAGTACGAAACGTCCCTCGTTTCCCGTGCTCGGGCTAACTCCTATCCCGAACACCATGCAATATGCATGACATGAATGAATGCAACTAATATACAACCTAGCATGCACAATGCTATGAAATGGCATACACAATGTGCGAGGTAACATGGCATACACAATGCGCGAGGTAACATGGCATATACAATGCGCTAACATACAACCTAGCATACACAATGCTATGAAATGAAATGGCATACACAATGCAATATGGACTTACACTAACATGAGTGGACCTCAGCCACACTCACATAAGAGGCCATGAGATGAAAATGAGACACTCGAGATGCGTGCACGCATGCACGCAAACCGAGGACCGACCCTAAGGTACCAAATGCCACTCTAACAAGACATGGCAAGGCATGAAATATGATATGCAAACATGCAAATTTCAGTAGCGAAATATGATGCAAAACAGCCCCGAATCATGGAAAGATGGCACCCGGTGCATGAAATGAAACCGAAACACAAAACTAGGCATATGCATTGGCCTATAGCTATACAAAACATGCATTATTTGAACATGAAATGTGAAGAAAGATTCAAGGAAGCCCCCAAAAAAAGCATTTTTACAGTTTTAAGCAAGACCAAACAATGAACATAAATAGGGCTAAACCAATATGCGAAAATGGCCCTAAATGTGAGATAAAGAAGCAAGTCACAGCTGCTGAGCCCAAACAAGAGAGGGCCCTTCAACAAAGTTGAAGAGAGGCCCAAAAATGATATTTTCCAGTTGGTGGACAGACCCAAAACAGTGTACAAGAATGCTCAAAATGCTATGCAAAATAAGGCCAAAAAGAGAGCTATAACACAAAGTATAAAAATAATGCCTCAAACAGTGAAAGACCCTTAATTAAACATAAATAGGGGTTCAAAATAAGGTCATTTGTAGTTCAGACCAGAACCCAAAAACCGAATAATAAGAGGCTAACAAATCATGCAAAAATGGAGCCAAAAGAGAGATATAAAGGCAAGTGGCAAATGGAAGCCACAAACAGTGATGAGCCCTTCAAAAATGTTGAATAAGGGCTCAAAATAAGCTTTTTTTATAGTTTATGACATGCCTCAAAACAATTTATACATAGGCCAAAAATACTACACAAGAAAATGACATACAAGGGAGCTAATGAAGCAAGTGCAACAAGGAGGCCTCAAACAGTGAGAGGCCCTTAAACAAACATGAAAAATACCTCAAAATAATTCTACTCCCAGTTGGGGTCGGAGCCCAAAACAGTAAGGAAGTATGGCTTATAAATAAATCAAGAAAAGGCTAGAAAAGGGAAAAAGGAAGCTCACCCTTGAAGACTATGCCTTGACAGCCTCTTGGCTTGAGTTTGGTGGCTCCTTAGCTCTGGAAAATAGCTTCAAGTGGCTGCAATGGAGGTTGGAGGTATGGTGCTATGGGTTGGTGAAGAAATGGGTGTAGGACTTGACAGGTTTTAAGCTTCGAAGTGTAGAGGGAGAGAGATATAAGGCAAGAGGCTTGGGGGGAATTTTTGTAACCCTAAATAAGCAGCTGGAGGGCCTGCTATATAGGCAAAAAGAGGGGGGAAAAGGAGGGAAAAAATGGAGGGAAATGAATCAAGTTTCCCCCAAAAAATGCCCCATCGGATATAGAATTTGGGGGGAAAAGGAGGGTGTATCTGCACTGTACTTGATGCAAGGATTCTGGCCGGCCAGTTATCTAGGGTTTAGGTGGCCGGCCGGCTACCTCCCATGGCCGGCCGGCCAAGGGTCAAAAGGTTCAATGAGGATTAGTGGCCGGCCATACCAAAAAGAGAGCCTCTGAGGTGTGCACAACACAATTATGTGGTCAAAAGCTGGAGATAGTGAACCAGGAGGGAGAACAACCCACTTTTCAAAGGGGTTCAAAAGGTTCAAAAGCAATTATTGGCCGGCCACCAAATATTGGTGGCCTCCCAGATGTGTACATCACAAATATGGGGTTTAGGGTGCAAGAAAATGGGCCAAGGGTGGTCAACACTGGCTTTGAAGTGAGAAAGAACGGGGGACGGAGGGCGATCAAGGGATAAAGTTGGCTGACAGAACAATTACTGGTCTCCCATTCTTCTGTGACCTTTCTAGCAATGAAACAGAGGTCCCTGCCAAAAACGAACCAAAACCGATGCAAAAAGAAGGTTCAGGGGCCAAAATGCGCGGCCTGGGGCCCCGAAAACTGACTGTTAGGCACCGGGAGTGGTGTTCAAACACGAAGTCGGTTTCTCGGACCACAGTGTCCCTCAAAAGGGAGTAAATAAGATACATGCCAAAAACTGGAGCAAACGGAGGTGGTTTAGCGGTCCCGAGCCGAGACACACGGCCAACGACTCTGAAAAACCTAAAACCGGGCTCCAAACGGGAAAAATGGCCTACGACCATGAAACGTAGCCTACGGCCACTGAGAGATGATCTACGAGACCTCTCCCTCCCTTCGGGAAGAGAAAATAGCGAAAGCAGAGTCTGGTTCGCAAACCGAGGCAAAGCACCAAAGAGTCCGGAAGTCCGGAGGTAAGGCTCAAAGCCGAGACTCTGAAACTTTTGAACGAGCACAATATGCAGTATCACCGAGCGCTCAACTGGTGACGTCTGAGTCTCAAGGTCGGTCAAAAATGGGGTGTCTACACCCCCTTAACTTTTGGAAAATTATGCATTTGTCGCTTGTAAAAAAAATGATTTCAATTTAAACCTTTATGAGGTTGTTGGGCAATTTTTATATCACTCATTTTTTACCGTTTTAAAAATGTATATATGTTGGGAAATTATGCCTTTTGTTTTCTCTGCTTGGGCAAAACTTGCAAGTTAGAACCTATATGTTGAAGCCCTTGTATCTCTGTTATCGAAACTTCATTTCGCCTCATTTTCACATCATTGGATTCTCTTCATGGCTTAGTTTTCATTCCACTCGTCATACGCCTTATTCTACCTCTTTTTGTGTCCTGTCGGAGCTCTGAAAGTTGGCCCTTTTTTTCTCTCTTCAAGGACTTTAAAATTTTTAGATTGAAACCCACATGTTGAATTTATAAATAATATTTAGGCCGCGTTTGGGAACATGCTAATTTAGTAACTTTTTGGCTATTTGGCTAAAATATGAGCTAAAAAAACTAGTATGTTTGGGATGACTTTTTGGCTTTTTACGAAAAGATGTGCAAAAAGTAGAGAGAAAAGAGAATCTTTGACTTTTTGGTATGTGTTGTTGACTTTTTGGCTGATTTAGTAACTTTTTGGCTTTTTGGCTAAAAGGGATGGTTCTCAAACGAAGCCTTAATATTGATTTATAAATATTTATACACAAGTGTCAATATACATCGTGATAACCTCACCATCGCTACAATCATCACCAACATTGTTGTTACTACCACCACCGTCACTGTTACCACCACCACCACCACCACCACCACCATTATCATGCCACTGCTACTACTATCACCACCTTTATTACTATTATCATTGTCATTATAAACACCACTAGAATTTCATTACTACCATCATAGTTTCCACTCTTATTATTACCACCTCTTTACCACCACTACAACTACTACAACCATTTAACTTCATAACCATTACCACCATTGCCATAATTACCATCATCATTTCACTGCCAATGTCATTACACTATTGTCGGCACCTTCTTTTTACCTTTATACCATCATTACACCATACTGCCGCCCCACTACCACCACATAAAATTTAGAAAATACAAATTCAACATAATGCATTTCAAATTTAATTATTAAATAGGCACAATAATTAATTGATAAATAATTATTTATTTATAAGACAATTGGTGCTACTAATTAAAGTAAGGACATATTGGCCCTATTTGACAAGTTGACTATTTGGTTTTTAGGCTATTTTAGTCAGGCTAAAATAGTTGTATTTGAGAAAATAGTTTTTGTAATTAATTTGATGGCTATGAGAGAAAAATTAAAATAATTATAGATTAAATGTAACATTTTGCCTTATTGACTATTATAATATATTTTGTCTTTATTAGATATTTTAGCTAAAACTTGTCAAACAGGGCCATTGACAACGATGTATGGTGGCGATTGAAAGATAAAGGATACATGACTACTATCATCATTATATCTTATACCGGATTATTAGTTAAAATCAAAAAATTCTCTAAATTTATTTTTTGCATTTAAAATATTAATTAAACTTTAATAAAGATAAAATTATGAACATAAATAATAAAAATAAAAAAATGTATAAATTAAGGCCAAACCAAATTTTACTACAAAATTTTGTCCTAAATTGAAATTTCTTCTCAATATTTAAAACAAACCGTCCAAAATTTTGGCTAAATTAAAATTCCCTTCCAAAATTTTGCCTAAAGAAAAAGAGGAGGAAAAACAGAGCAAAAACTACAACACGGCTGGAGAGAGAGAGAGAGCGAAGAGCAGTCCTTCAGAGTTACCTCCTTCGTAGCCCCGTTCGTCTTCGCTTCTCCCTCCGCTCGACGAAGACCCTCAAACGAAGCAAACGGAGCCGTCTCCCCTCTCCCTCCGGCCGGAGCTCTCTCACCTCTCCCTTCCACCGCCCAATTTCAGGTCCATGTTCAGATATTAGGGTTTTGAGTTTTGATTTGAGGCTTTTCAATTTCAAAATTAAGGTCTAGGGTTTTCCAATTTCAAAATTTGGGGCTTTTCAATTTGGGGTTTAGTGTTTAACTTGGATGCTCGATCTGAATGCTTAAATGGGACTTAATAATGTCAATTTACTAAGTCTCTTAACTTCAATTGTTTTTGGTATTGATTTCGTTAAATTTTTTTTTTTTTTGATAGCTTCTATTTTGGTGCCACTATATCTATGAAGGTTTCAATTGCTGCCAAGACTCAGTAGTGCTTCAAGAGAGAAAACACAGGTATTGTTGATGTCCAATTTAATTGCTTTATTACATTTATGTTATGAATTCTTACAAACATGTTATTGATTGCTTTAACCAAACACTGGTTTTGTGTTTGTGGTACTATATATTTGATATGGTTTTATCTTTTGGACTGGATTGCTTTATCAATTTTGTTTTTCTTTAAATTTTCTTAATAAGCTCACATTAGAAAGCTTGAGGAAGAAGTGAAACTCCTTAAAAACCTTGCAAATCCATTATTGTTTGGTTGTATGACTTGAAGCAATGTTGCTCATTGTTATTTAGAGAGCTTTGATTAGAGAGATTTGATGATGAAGCAAGTTGCTATTTCTTTTGGTTGGTTGCCTAACTTGACTATACATCTCTAGGGAATTATGTCAAATAAATTCGTAGGTGTGAAATATTTTCTTTTTTCTTGTAAGTATTGTACTCTTTTTTTTTTCAATTTTTATTTTATATTCTTGGAAAAAAATTTGCATTGATATAAAGTGGACCAACGGCCACAAATTACACAATCATACTTTGTGTTCATTGAAATCATACTTCATGTTTATATCAAATTGGGTTATATCATGCTTTGGGTTTATTAAAATCAAATTGGGGTATGGTGGGATTGGGGGAGCAATAAAGAATGAATGACCAAAGAAAACAAATCATGTAACTTTCAATTATTACTTTGCACTTTATTCCCATTTTGTTGGTTCTATTGGTATTGGTGTAATTGATAAATAATTATTAAACATATTCTTTTGTTGTGAAATTTTCAAGAGAACTTTACTTATTTATTTGCATTCATACTTATTATCTTCATGAGATGATAGGTACCCAAATGAACACAATGTTGGGGTTGAGTAAGGGGAGTCAAGATTCACTGAGGGAGGCGATGTGGGTTGGGCATGACACTTTACCTTATTAGAAGTATCCATGGTACAATGCATAGCTCTAAATGAAATCATGTTAACTATCATTCTAAAATTGCATAGAACAATTATATTTGAGCACAACATACCTTGACATATGGATATTTATCAATGATTTGAGGCATGAGATGATTTACCTATACTTTTATCTATTATATGTGATGATTTATCCATACTTTTATCGAGCTCAAGGTAACCTTAAGAACATTGTCATATTCCTTTGATTTTCTTGGAGTTCTTGAAGTGTTATTTTTTGGGGGGACTTATGTGTAGGTCTTAATAGGTGGACTTATTGTCTAATAGGTCCTATGATAATTAATAGCGTTTTTCATCAAACATTATTACAAAATGTCATTAATTGTTAATTTTCAGTGACAGTTTAAAAATTGTCACAAAAACTGTCACTAATTATGGTTTTAGTGATAGTTTAAAAAAATCGTCACAAAAAAATTCACTAATTTTCAAATTTCGACGACAATTTGAAAAATTCGTCACAGAAAAACGTAACTAATTGTAAGTTTTAGCTACAATTTATAAAAATTGTTAAAAAAAAGAGAAGAAATTATTAAAATAGCAAATATTTATGAAATCAACATCTTTTTAAATAACAAATTATTTGGTGTATGTATAGCATGTATGAAAATTGATAAAAGTCTAAAATAAGGTTTTTAATAGTCTAGATAATTCTTCAAAGTTTTTTTCCAAAAAGTATGTGAAATTATGTGTGACAGTGTTCTTAATTATGGATTATCACCTCTATATCATCTCTCTTGTATGTTATAGGTTCGTGATATTATATATGCTTATTTTATGAACTTAATTTATCATGCCTTAGTTGTCTCATGTTTGACTTTGGTTAGCTTTGTTGTAATTATTCGTTGTTTTAATCGAAAACCTGATGAATTTAAAAATGAGAAACTTAATCGGGTGGTAATGGGTTTGCATTCACTTGTAATGATTTGAAAGGATAAGTGATAATGGTTGGTTTGATAATGAAATGATGGTGCAACGTATCCACTTTGAGTTAAGTTTTGCGCAAGTGGTTGTAGCGTTAACCTTATGATGGAACATGCATATTCGGACTCTATGTGGTTGTTTGATCTGGTGAGATAAGTTGGGTCCAAATGGGACATTCAGGAAGGTAAAACCTTTTTGTTTTTGAGGGATAAGGTTGGGTTCATGATGATAAAATCTTTTTTTTATATCCCGTTTGAGGTTCATCAATGGCATTGCCCGGTATATAATCATTGCAAGCATTCGTGGTAAAGTCTGCAAAGTAGCAAAATGGAGAGTTTCAAATAGTATGATGTCTAGTTCTAGAGGTTGGACTGACGGGTCTCTTTGGGGCACTCTAATGGCTTTGATTTCACTGTTGCAATTAATTGTCAAATATTATTAACTGATTGTTACTTATTGCTGTTGTTTAAGACTGCATTGTTGTAATTGTTTGTATTTCTCTTTAATTCTCTACCTATGTAATTATATTTTGTACTTCTACTTGTTTGTATTATCCAGAGGTTGTAGAAAGTTGGGGTTGGGTGTTCTTATTAGGTTGCGCAACTCACAACTTTTGCCTTGGCATCCGATTCCGGGTTTTGGAGAATTTGTCGACGTAGAAGATTTTGTGGAAGAGATCGAGAAGCTGTGCCAGGCGTGGACTAACGTCGGATTTTTCATCTCATTATTGAAAATTTATTTTTTAAGAGCAACATTGTCTATAATATATAAATTTTGATGCACTATTATTTACTTTTGGATGTGTAACCTTATCAAAACCCTATTGTGAGGGTAATTTGTATGGAAAATTGGGCCGAGCTGGGTAAATGGGCCGTTATGGACCGCAATACGAAGGGCTGAGTAAAAAGGCCATAGAGTTAGACCAGTCTAGGAGAATCTTGAAGTTACGCCGGTCTCGAGGTAAGCTCGGTCGTCGCACTAAGTTAACTCGGTCATAATCTTGCATAGGTATCTCGGTTACCATAGGCGTGGTTAGCTCGGCCGCACTATTTGGAACCGAGGCATGATGTAGACATAACAAGCCTCACTCTTAATTTAGCTCCGTCTCCGCAGGGAAACCGAGGTACAAACTGCGGAGTAACAGGCCAGGCTAGTTGAGTCTCGGCCATGTTGTTGCTAGCATAGCATGGTCATTTTACTTCAGTCGTGGTAGCCCGGCCATAGAAGAACCATCTCACTTGGTTTAAGCAGTGAGGGGGGTGTTGGAGGATAAGGATTATCCTTCAGGAGGTTAAATCCTAGGGGGACTCTGCATGGAGAAGTAAAAGTCCTACTAGTATTGTGCCACACGAAACCTATAAAGCTCACAAATATCACCTGCGAAGAGGTAACACAATTTTGCTTCCCGAATACACAGATCTTTTGTCTACTTGTCTATTGTGCTGACTTAGGCATCGGAGAGGTTTCCGGCACACACCCGCCGGTTAGCTCACGTTTGTGTTTTCAGGGGATAAAGCGACGACGTATGGAGGAGCGTAGACTTAATCAACAGGATAATACGAGAAGGTTTATTTCTTTCCCGTACAATTGGCGCCGTCTGTGGGAATTGAGACAAGAACAAAACCTCTTGATTAAGCTTCTCCTCTTTAGAAACAATGGCGCACATGAAGATTTACCGCAGTCCGCCATCGACGGGCAAACACCAGATGGGGGTGCAAGGCGTGAAGGACTACCTTCTATACCTCCCATGGTAGATTTGGAGCCCCAACGACATAACACCAGGAGGGATACTAGGGGGAGGCAGACTAACAGCCCCCATCACTCTCGTTCGCAAAGTCCAGACAGGCAAAGGCGGAGGATTGATCCTCAAGCTCTGGAAGACCGCGTGAAGGAGCAAGATGAATTAATAAGAAAGATGACGGCGGGCATGGAAGCCTTGAAGCGCGAGATGAAGAGAAAAGAAGTGGCGACAGGAGAGGGGCGCAAAAACAAGACGCTCCCTCGCCACTCAGAAAATCGTAGTAGGAATACCACACCCTCGCAAGGAGAGAGCAAAAGCCTCAGGACAGGCGATACTCAATCCAGGTCTTCCAGAACTCGCCACTCGAGGTCTGAGAGGACGAGATCTGAAAGATCATACACTGAAGGAAGCTCGTATTGGCCCTCACATACGCACCAAACCAGATCTAGACAGACAGAGTTACCCAGATCATACGACTTACGAACCGTGCTCGAAGAAAAGGCGCGATGCAAGGAGGATGCCAGGGCACGGGATCCACACAGAGTTTCTACCTTACAGCGGTTGGCTCCTCAGACGCATGGAAGCGTCGAGGTTGGAATGCCAATACCGCGCTTTGCCTACGAACCAACGGACAAAGCATTAGCAAGGCTGCAGACTTCGCCGTTTGTTCCGGCGATTGAAAACGCGCCCCTACCATCAGGCTTCCTTCAATCCAAATTCACTACATATGAAGGGAAGACGGACCCCTACTCACACTTGAGCCACTTTCGTCAGGTCATGGCTGTATACAGGCGAAACGAGGCCTTAATGTGCATACTCTTCCCATCTAGCCTTGGCGACCTAGGCTTGACTTGGTTCGAGAAACTTCTAGAGGGCAGCATAGCCTCTTGGGCGCAATTGGCAGAGGCGTTCGTAACAAGGTTCCGAACAAACACTAAAACCTCGGTGGAGATCGACCTGCTACTCTCCATCGACATGGGCGATAAAGAGACCCTAAGATCCTACAATAGTCGCTACTGGGAGACATTCAATCAGATTGGGGACTGCCCCACCAATCTCGCCATTGCACAGCATAAAAGAGGCCTTCCAGTCGGGAACAGACTAAGGGACTCGATCACCATGACGCCACCCCTCACCATGGAAGCCTTGATGGAAAGAGTGCATCAGCACATCAGGGTAGAAGAGGATGGCGCACGTGCCAAAGCAAAATGTGGGGCGACCACAGTACCAGAAAAGAAGACCTCAGCGAAGGTTAATACGGTAGATCGACCGAACAGAAACGGACGTGGCAGATGAGATAACGGAGAAGACTCGGATAAAAGATGGTTGAGAATCCGCACTGCCATAACCACGGTGTTCAAGAAACCGATATATCGGATTCTAAGCGAAATAAGAGATGAGCCTTTCGTCAAGTGGCCAGCTAAGCTGGGAGAAGCACAGAAAGACTACGACGAAAGATCGCGGTGCACCTTCCATAAAGAAAAGGGGCACCGCACTGAGAATTGCACACCATTGAGACAGCACCTGGAGGAATTGGTGGCGGCAGGTCACTTGGATAAATACATTGAAGGAGGGACGCAACCAGCCCCGCAGGACCATAATAACCCCAATGAGATGCCAATCGACGCCCCGCCTCAAGGAATTATCAATGTGATACATGGAGTTTTCGAACCTGAGCGTGTATGCGAGCTCAGGGGATCAATCATAAAGGCCGAGCATTTAAGAGAGGTTCTAAGTGCCCAACCTGCCATCAAGAAGGGGAAGACAGAAGCCACAAACGTCATGTCCTTTTCAAATAAAGACTTAGAACGGATATATTGCCTTCACAATGATGCCCTGGTTGTCACTCTCCGAATCAAGGATTTTGACGTCAAACGGATTCTGATTGACCAGGGTAGTTCATGTGAAATCATGTACTACGAAACATTTAAACAACTGAAGCTACAAGACAAAGACTTGGTGCCTGTTGTATCTCCCCTAATTGGATTCAACTCCATGCCAGAATGGCCCGTCGGCAAAATAATTCTTCCAGTTAGAGTAGGAAGCGTGACGAAACAAGTGGAGTTCTGGGTATTGAAGGTCCCCTCTACTTACAACATCATCTTGGGCAGAACATGGCTGCATGCCATGCGATCGGTGGCGTTATCCTACCACCAAGTAATGCGGTTCCCCAACGACACCAGTGTAATTGAAGAGGTGTACGGAGATCAGATTATGTCCAAGCAATGCTTTGTCACGGTAAACGGCAGTCGCGCTGCCAAAGGATATGTTCATTCGGTGGAAGAACCTGAGAGTAATTGTAGACACCCCATTTTTGACCGACCTTAAGACTCAGACGTCACCGATTGAGCGCTCGGTGATGGTGCATATTGTGCTCGTTCAGAAGTTTCAGAGTCTCGGCTGCGAGCCTTGCCTCCAAACTTCCGGGCTCTTTTGTGTCTTGCCTCGGTTTGCGAACCAGGCTCCGTTTTCTCTGTTTTCTCTACCCGAAGGGAGGGAGAGGTCTCGTAGATCATCTCTCAGTGGCCGTAGGCTATGTTTCGTAGTCGTAGGCCATTTTTTTCGTTTGGAGCCCGGTTTCCGGTTTTTCGGAGCCGACGGCCGTGTGCCTCGGTTCGGGACCGCTTAACCACCTCCGTTTGCCCCGGTTTTTGGTATACGCCCCACCACCATCCATTCCAACAACTTGGAGCTGTTTTTTAGAGCTTAGAAGCACCATTTCTCAGACCAAGAGCTGCTGGTCCATTGGTTTTCAAGGGTAAGCTTCTTTTCCCTCTTTTTTGTTCCTATCTTGCTCTATATCTAAGCCTTTCTTGAAAGAATTTTTGGGCTTCGACCCAAACTCTAAATAGTTATATTTTGAGCTCCTTTTCATGTTTTATTATGGACCTTTTGCCATTTGAGGTCTCCTACTATCACTTGCCTCTTTAATTTTCTTTTAGGCCTATTTTTGCATGGTAGTTTAGGCTCATTTTTAAGCTGTTTTGGACTCTTCTATAAACTGTGAAATGTCTTTTTTTGAGCCCTTCTTCAACTTTGTTGAAGGGCTCTCCTCTGTTTGAGAACAGAAGCTGCTACTTGTCTCTTCACCCCTCTTTTAGGCCTTTTCTTGCATGATAGTTTGGCCTTATTTGTGATTATTTTCGTGGCTTGATGTAAACTGTAAAATACCTTGTTTTGATCCCCTCTTCAACTTCGTTGAGGGCTCTTTGCCATTTGGGGCCAGCTTCTGTCCCTTTGTGTTTAATCTCTATTTTGGGGCCATTTTTGCATGATAGATTAGCCCTATTTGTGTTCATATTTGAGACTTTTTATAAACTGGAAATATGCATGTTTTGGGACTGTCTTTCTTCTGTATTCATACTTCATGATCAAATAATGCATGTTTTGTATAGCTATAGGCCAATGCATATGCCTAGTTTTGTGTTTCGGGTTCATTCCATGCATCTGGTGCCATGTTTCCATGTTTCGGGGCTGTTTTGCATCATATTTCAGCACTGAAATTTGCATGTTTGCATACCATGTTTCATGCCTTGCCATGCCTTGTTAGTGTTGCATGCTATGCCTTGGGTTCGGTCCTCGGTTTGTGTGCATGTGTGCACGCATTTCGAGTGTCTCATTTTTCATCTCATGGCCACTAATGTGAGTGTGGCTAAGGTCCATTCATGTTGGTGTAAGTCCATTATGCATTGTGTATGCCATTTCAATTCATAGCATTGCGTATGCTAGGTTGTATGTTAGAGCATCGTGTATGCCATGTTACATCGCGCATTGTGTATGCCATTTCATAGCATTGTGTATGCTAGGTTGCATGTTAGAATTGCATTCATGCATGTCATGCATATTGCATTGTGTTTGGGATAGGAGTTAGCCCGAACACGGGAAACGAGGGACGTTTCGTACTTCGAGTGACGGAACGTGTCTCAATTCCCAGTCGCCGACACACCGGATTATCCATGATGGAGTCTAGTTCTTATTGTGTTTACATGTGCATTCATTTCATATTGAGTCGTGTAATTCGACTCCTTGGCCATCATGCATCGATATGTGTGATTGGTGGCACGAGGATCAAGGA